AGACAGACAGATAGATATCAATCGATTGATCGATCGATAGATGCCGAAACTTGTGGTTTCGAGCTGAATTACAGAATTACAGAATAATAGAGTTGGAAGGGACCTTGGAGGTCTTCAACCGCCTACTCAAGCTGGAGAGACCCTCTACCATTTCAGACAAGTGGCTGCCCAGTCTCTTCTTAAAAGCCTCCAGTGATGAACCATCCGCAACTTCATGTTGAGGGTGCTTCATCACTGGAGCTCACACAAGCTCAGGTTTCCATTTTCAAGGATGCTCCCCGCCCCTAGAAATTTCTGCTAAATTGTTTACACCAAATCTATCACGTAAGCAAAATTCCAGAAGTTACTTCTTTTCAATTTCTTGATCTCCTACTACAGACCCCAATTTAACACCAAGAACCTTTTGGATGAGGGCAGAAATCCTGCCTTTTAACTTGGCCTTAAGGGGCAAGCTGCCCAACTAAATGTTAGTCTGAACAGGACTATTTCTAGTGGAGAATTCACTGGAATCTGTTGCCCTTCTAGGATCTTCTGTTTGATCTCGGAGACCCTGTGCGATGGGAATTCATGCTTCCCAGCACCGACAAACCCTTGTTGTCCCTGCCAGAAATGGAGGAGGAGGAAGATCTGGGTGAAGATGATGTGGAAGATTTGGTAAGGTCTGGGACAACCAAACGTGACTCCTGATACTAACAGTTTGACTGCTGAGTTTGTGCAATCCAGCTATCCAGACCACTTAATCAGAACACGAGCTGGAAGGGACCTTGGAGGTCTTCTAGTCCAACCCCCTACTCAAGCAGAAGATGCAGGGGGTTGGATTAGAAAACTTCCAGGGTCCCAGCTCTATTCTGATTGGTTGATTGATTGATGATTGATTGATTGATTGAATCTTGCACCAATATCTTCATCAATATCAAAAGTCAAGGGCAAAATGCATGGGCTGTCTCTCTTTCTTCTGCCATGCCTTATTGCTGTAAAAGTAGCCCACCAATGATCAGTAGAAAGTTTCTGAAAATAAAGCAAGAATTTCTGTTCAGAAAGGTAATTCAGGCTGCAAAATGCAGAACAGGAGTTAGTTAACATGGACTTTGGTAGGTGAGCATTCTCACAGCCTTGTTTATTGCATCCTGGTTAGATGAAAGAAGATGAATCAAAGAGTTTTGACATGCCTGCATCTTGGGTGGAGCAGATCCATGTATCTCCCAAAGGTATTCTTGTTTTCTTCCATCTTGACCTGTCTTCAGTACACAAGCTTGGCAAGGAAGTGATAGCAGTAAGATCTAACCATCTTAGAAGGCATCAGTTTGTAACAAACTATAATTGCAGGGAGCACACAACTAAGGATCTTCTCCTTCTCCTCCTCCTCCTCCTCCTTCTCCTTCTCCTCCTCCTCCTTCTCCCCCCTCCTCTCTGAGGTAGCTTCTCTGCAACTTAACAAGGAGACCTTAGAAAAGAAATCTGGGATGAAGCATAGATGAAAGTCATCATGTTGAGCTCACTTGCTAGACCCCAAGGGAAGGTGATCTTTAGCATTCATGGTTTTAGGAAGGGAAGGATCAGGATTAGGGTTAGGGTTGGGATAGGTTTAATATTTAGGATGCAAAGAATATAGAGGAGCTAAACATAGTTATAGTAAGGTAGAAAAGTTCAATATGACTTCCCAAGCCAACGAAATATGAAGTCTATGCATGCAGTCTACTTGGTAAGTACCTCCTTACCGGGTTGACTGCATGCATAGACTTCATATAGACTCACATAGACTCAACCAAACCACCCCATCACTCATTTGGAGTCAATCAGGCCTCCAAAGTTAACCATCAGACCAGGACTGTTGATAGTCAGGAAAGAAAGAAATTATATTCCATCAATATTTGGAGAACCTCAGTTTCTCATTCTCACCACGTATGTCTTCTCTGTTCTTATCTCTAGAATTTGAGACTCGCTGTCCTCAAGGCAAGAAACTGATTCAATATAAGAATGCCAAGTTGGAGAAATGGGCACCATATCTTAATGTCAATGGCCTAATCACCCGATTGACATTGTATGAAGATCCAGATTGTAAGTAGATTTAAAATGGAAGATCTTTTGGGAGATGAGTCATGTTCGGTTTGATGTAGTGTTTGGGGATAATTCTCTGTTTTCCTTTCATAGTTTTTATTAAGAGTTTTTAAAAATAATAAAGGATAATGCAAACCAAATTTAGAAGAAAGTGAGAAAAGGAAAAGAAAGAAAAAGAATAGAAAGTACAAAGAAATGAAATGGAAAGAACGAAAGAAGAAAGAAAGAAAGAAAGAAAGAAAGAAAGAAAGAAAGAAAGAAAG